CTCAGATGGGCTGGCCTGCAAGGACAAGCACTGTTTCTGGACTTGTACACACCCTGTTTTCACACAAATATTTCATGTAGATTTGGAAAATGCAATAGCTGCTGAGCGTATTTTACACAGTCACAGCCTAGTGACTGAAGGATCCACTAATTAAGAAGCCTCTAATTAGGCTTTTAAATGATAAAATGTAATGGCTGTAGTGCAGCTGTTGTAAACTATAGAGTAAATTATATCCAGTTGAAAGAGGCCTTAATTATGTAATTATATAACATACTCTAAAGACTTAGAAAGATAAAAGAATTTTTAGTATCTGCAATTAAAAAAAACAAGGGAGTAACAATAGAGCTCTTAAACCAATGAAAGCAAGGAAATTCAAAGTTAATCTGAAAAGCTGTGCTGGTACTTTCTTTTATTCTCATGTTGTTCTAATTTTTGGAGGGTTGTTTTTGTTCTTTTTGTTTTCATGATGGAGGAGATAAAGAAGTATTGTCAACCAGGAGTTTATGTCCCCTGCTTTTGTTTTTCTTGCTTTTATAGGTCCATGTACAGCATTGATGATACTCAGCAAACCTTCTGAGGCTTCATTTTTGCAGAAATCCCTAGCAAGAACACACTTATTAGCCAGCTTGTCTCCTTGCATTCTGATTTACAGAATGGTTGGTTGTTACACATGATTTTCTGAAGTCAACAGGACTCAAATGTTGGTCACATTTGGCCCTTGGAGTTTAGGCCACATCTAGCCTGCATGTTTTTGGTGCAATGTTGGCAGCCATTTTCCATGCTGGACTTACCAATTGGGGAAAAGGGTTTGGATATATCTGGGGCAATTCAGCTAAGTGGAGATTGCACTCTGGGCTTCTTTTTTACAGGGCTTAGTTCTGCTGCACTGAAACTGAGGAGAATTTAGCCCTTGCCCACACTGGGGCTGGGCCAGACTCCAGTCTGCTTAGCCCTTAGACACCAGCACTCTTCCCCTCTGCCCAGCTCTGCCTGACAGTGCTGCCTTGGGAACCTCACCAGCTCTGTCTCCAAACCTGCATCTGCTCTCAGCCTCCCTTCTTACCCAGCCCGGTCTGCTGCCCTTCCTTGCCATCTCCAATCACAACTGATGCTGATGTGCTGCAGTGAGCAGATGCCTCTTTATCGAGAAAAGGAAAGATATCTCTGATGTGAGCCTGGTGGCTTTGCTCATCTCTTGCCAGTTCTTTTAGTTTCTTCTATTACTGCTCCTCAGGACAAGGGCCGTGCTTTTTGTGTCTGTAAGCTGCAACCATGTAGAAGATACAGACTGTAGGCTGTGATGTGGAGAGAGCTTTCCTCCTACAGCTGTTCTTAGGGGCTGGCCTTCACAGCTGCAGGACCAAGCACCCCATGACAGCCAAAGGAGTAGTGCTTTTCTTGCTTATTCCAGCCACATCCAAGTATTTTTATCTGGAAATGTCACAGTGAGGGAAATAAGGAATACAGATCTCATAGTAAATTTTTATGACTGATTAATTAGCCCAAAGAGTATTAAATTGTGCTAATGTAGTTTGCCTCTTCGATGCTGTCTTTTGACTTCAATGGAACTAAATACATGCTTAAAGTTAACTACATGCCTAAGTGCTGTGGTGAATCGGGGCCTAGGGCATTAATTAGAACTTGGCTCAGATTTACTTTCAAGGCTTTTCCCCCTCTTTTTTTTTTCTTTTTTTTTACTCTTCAGTGCTCAGCAGTTTAATTGGTATGCAGATGTTCCCCTTTATTGCTGGCAGAGGCCTCTGTCACTGTTCTGAAGGTACTCAGGCTTCAAGGCTGGTACAGTGGGCAGGAAGAAACCCCCCCTGAGGGCTTTCAAGCTTTGTGGGAAATAATGATATATGAGACAGGGATTCCTTTGGAACCTGAAGGGAACATGACAGACAGAATAATATGGGAGGAAAACATTGTCTTCACAATTGAGACTGATGGTCTCATCTTGTCTCCTTGTTATTGTTACCAACCAAGACTGAGATGAGCTTTCTTATGAAGAACTTCATTTTGTGGCAGGTTCTGTATGTTGGGCACACTGCGCTCAGTGGTAGCTTTCCATCCAAAGTACAGATATTGACAGGCTCTGAGGAACCCCTTGAGGTGGTGGTTTAGCTTAAAACCTAAAATTCCTGCCAGCATTGAGATGCATTTTGTCAGGAATGACAGTTGCAATTTGATAATCTTTTACCACTTTGCCTGCCCATGTGAAGAGTTGTTGGGCACAGGAGTGTCAGCTTTATGAATCAGATTTTCTCACACTTTATTAATTTCACTTTCCAGTGGTTAGTCCATGTTTGCAAGAGACAATTGATTTGTACAGATCTGTGTAGGATGGAGCAAAGCTGGAACTAAAGCAGGAATGCAAGTTGACAGCAATGCAATAGCTCTAATTGACAGACACCAAAGACACTATTTAAAGCAACATCTCCTCTGATGTTTAGGTTAAAAATGACCCTCAATTTGTCCTCAGGTTGCTATGTCCAAAAAGAAATGCTTTTATGTGTGCTCATTTCAAATGGATTAGCCAAAAAATCAAGTGCTCATTTTCTATACTTTTATTTTCAAGTTAGAGATGATTCAAACTGCTCTTGTGCAAGGTACCGGAAGATGGCTGTTTCTGAACTCCTCCAGTGTAAAAGCTGTCTTTCAGGGGATGCTTTGCACATGTGAGATTTCTGTTTGTATTTTTTGGCACCCACAGTTTGCATTCTAGCTAATGAGGTAGAAGGACTAATACACATAGTGTATGTTGTGGGTGCAAAAATGCAAATAGAAATTACACCCAATGTGGAAAGAGCTAGGAAAATGTACCTCCTTGCATGTGAGCAGGGCAGGTTAGGAAACATCATCTTCCTTTTACAATTGTCTGTTACTCTTTACATTTCTGGAGAACTGGGATCTTGCTGTTAATCTTACAAAAATAGATGCTGTGGTGAAGCCTCAGGCATGAATAAAATTGGATGTTAATCTTAAAGCAGATTTTTTACAGCTATGCACTCAGAGCAGTGAATCCAAATGATTTTGGAAACTCTGTGGTTTTTACTTATTTAGATCAAAATGCTGTGAGGAAAAAGGTCAGTGGCACAGGTACATATTGTAACATTTGGGGCTGCTGAAAGTTGGGCAGATAAGCACAGCAAATATTAGACATCTGACTTGACACAAATAATAGGCAAAGCTGAAAAAAGCCTGCTGACAAGAGGAGTGGGTGTTGGTGGGTGACTTGCTGCAGTTTTAGAGCTGTTAAGTGTAGGTTTTTTAGCATTTTCATTATTTAAAAGTCAAGTGGTAGTTTCTTCACTCCTGAAAAGTTACTAATTTACTCTGAAATATAGGGTAAGCCACAATGATTTAACAGATTTGTAATATGCTTTAGAGTGACTTCAAGTAAGATACCCTCCTTCTCTCTGAGCTTCCCACTGTCTCAGCTCTGCCCTCACTCCTCTCTCTCTGTGTACATCTGCACCAAAATGCAAAGCAAGGGCTGCCCCATGCATGACTTTCATCTGTATCCTGTGTCAGCTGGAGTGCCTGCACGGCTGTGACCACTGCTGCTCATGCAGCTTTGCATCATTGCCACGGTTCAGAGACTGCCAGGCTGAACTGGCTATGTTTGGATATTGGGAATAGCCAGGCTGAGCTAGCTACATTTGGATATTGGGAATGGCAGCTTAGACTGTGGAGTGGTTCAAAAGCTGCTGCTGTACAGGTGGACAGCCCTTTCTTGGAGGAGCCCTGACATACAGACCCTGCCTTTTGCCTGATGCATGGAAAGTGCCTAGTGGAGCCTGGCCAAGGGCTGGGATTAAGGTCCCCAGGATATTCCTGGGATACAGGCAGCATTAATTAATCTGTGGTCCTCTGTGTCTGGTTCAGAGAAAGCAGCTGGGTTGTATTCCTGAGGGGCTGTCCAAGAAGGGAGGCAGCTGCAGGGATGGAAGGTGCTCAGGACATTCTCTTCTGTTGTCAAGCTGGAAGGGTCTCAGCTGTGCCATGCCCACAGCTGTGCTGAGGAGCCATGCCTATGGCAGGATGCTTCAGCTGCAGGCCTTTTGCATGGATGGTATTTAAATCTGGTGCCTGGCTGAGAAGGAGCTGGGCCTGCATTTACTCAGAGATCTCTAGTGGTTTGTGGTAAGGAATTGGGACCTGGGGCTGAAGCCACAACCTCTAGGACCAAACCACAGACTTTACACAGCTGCCAAGGCCTGCGCATTTACCTCCCCTGATGAAAGTCTGTCATCACACAGCTCTTGCACTTCTGTTTGCTCTGGTCATTATTGGTGGAGGGAAGAATCTGTTTTGTTCAATATAGCAATGATGTCTAGCTCAGTTTAATTTTATTAGCTGCTGCTGATTTGTTCCTATTCAGTGCATCCATGGATTTGTTTAGTGTAATGTGGAGGGGTGTGGGTCAGAGACAGAGACAACACACAGTCTATGGTCCTTGTGACAAACAGCCCTGAGTTTATTCCCACAGATCCTTTTATAGGAACTCAAATTTCCCTAGGAATGGGATTCATTGAGGTCTTAGCACCATGCAGCTCTCTGGCCAATGATACATCTACATTTAGGGCTGAATGACACTGGCTGGGGGTCCCTGTGTAGATTTGAATCCAACCTATCCTTGCCCACCCAGGGACTGTAATGCTACAGTTCAGTATCAATAATCAAGGGTAGAAATCTTGAATGGAAAGCTAGGTGGAAATTCTGAGTTTCTGGAGGACTCCAGGATTTGTTTTGCTCTTCTTTGTTTCCCTGTTCTGGGAGGTGTGAAGTACACTTGTCCATTCATAACTGGAACTATTCAAGATGAACAGGCCTGAAGGGGTACTATAAGTTTCTCTTGCTGTCTGGTGTAGTAAAGGTCTTGTCTTCCAGCAAACATTATGAATGAAAGCTTTTGTTACAAGGAGAGGTGGTAAGTTTGTGTACTCAGCTTCTATTTGGAAGAATATTTTGGTGTGAAACCTTTCTTTTTCCAGAGGTTTCAGCCAAGTGATTTTGATCTGGGAGCTTACAGAATGGGTAAGTGCAGCTATGTTGTGCTGGGTAGATGTCACCCTCAGGGATTTGTGCATGGGTCTCTCCTTGGCCTGAACTGGAGAAGGGCAAGAGTTTGTTCACTTTTACTTTCTGTCCCTGAGAAAAATGAATGCTGTTCTATAAAGCTATAATTTCCTCCCAAGCAGATGATGACTAAAGAAGGCCTGAACTGAGTATAGATAATCTTATATTTACTTGAAATGAATGTAGCTCATAACTCTTATTTTAGCACCAATCTGGAACACTACTGTGAGCAGATTTACGTCTGCCTCTTCCTTACCTTGGCATTCTGGCATTTATGCACTCACTGCACTGGTAGTGCACATTCTTGCAGTGACACTTGGGAGTTTAATGAAGCCCAAGTGTCTGAAAGGTGAGTAGGTAAAAGGTAGATACTTTGACATCCACCCCTTTTTCTTTTGTGTGCTCCACAATCTTATTTTAGTTCTTAAATATAGTTTCATTCTTCTGATACTAAGAGTCAGCACTGATTTCAGTATGTGAATCATCAGGAGAGTTATTAACTGTTTTCTAGTTGCATGGTCCTTTGTTGCAGCACTGAAAATACCTAACTTCAACCATGTGTTTTTAGGTTAGATACTCACAGGAAGCCTTTTCTGTGATTATAGAAGAGAAGATTTAATCTGGAAGTCATTGAGAGAAACCAATAAAGAATTTCCTTGATGTGATTTTTGGAGTTACTTGCTGGAATTGAATTGCATGGTTTTGGGTATTGGAAATAAGGGCACTTGAAAGCTCTAAGAAGCTTAAATGTAAATGATAATGAAAATGTTATTGGTATTTATAGGTCAGTCGATAATGTCAGCATATTAAAGTGATATGAAATATCTCCTTGATTTCATGGACAGTGCATTACTTTATATAGTTTATTGTAATAACATGATCCTTGATATACACTGATGATAAGTTTAGCTTTATAAAAATTTTTTTAGTAATCCAATTGCCCTGAAATGCCATATCAAAAGTATGTAAGTATGTTTATTACAGAACAAGAACAGTTACACTCTGCCAGTGTTATCTCTATGAAAGCAACCTAAGCCAAGAAAGCACATTTGGGAAAAACATGCCAAGCAGAGGTGGTTGGGTTTTTTTTCTTTTGTTAGACTTTCTGGGAACATTCATTTATAGTTGGAAATGTGGTCTTTCAACTAATTTTCTTTCACCCAGATTATATGCAAATTTCAGAATTCTTCAAGCATAAAGTCATATGCCATGAGTATGATATTAGCATTTCTTTTAATAAAAATAACTTTGAAATAGGTACCTTGTTTGGTGAATTGCCTTCCTTATCATTCATCACTGTGTAACATCTTTGTAGAATGACAGTAACTGGAGGAAAGGAAGGAAAATACTGGACGGTGTTTCTTGGAACTGGGATTGGCAGAGGTGTGCCTTTTTGGAAAAGAAATGCTGATTTTGGTTCTTTATTTTGTCCTGGCCTTTTAATGCTGTTGTGTACTGAAAGAAAAGAATAAAAATGAGCACTGGATGAGCTGTGAGTTCCCTTTGGACCAGACTTTGGGAGTCTCTACTCTGACACGTATTGTGGGGTTACTTTATCCTGAGGGACTTTATTCACAAAATCTCAGAACATATTCTTCCAATAAGATTTCACATAGTTCGATAAATGTTTGGATAAATTTCATGCCATCTTATCAAAGCAGACAATAGTTCTTTCTTGAGGAACTGAGCTTAAGTGAAATGCTCATTTATGTTGGTGGAATAATAATTAAGAGTACAAGATCCAAATCAGTGCTTTCTTATTCTGTTGCAGGAGTAGGCTGAATCAAGCCTCTGTCAAGAGCCACTGCTGAAATACTGAATTAAAATACCCAAGACCAGCACATCAGGAGGATAGCCTTCTGCCAAGAATGGTGTGGAGGTATACCTTTTTCACAGAAGCTCTGGAAACATCCTCAGACTTGGACAGACTCAGTGCATCCCCAGAAGGCAGAGATGTTGCTGCTCTCTGAGCACTGTACACTCTGTGTTCATGACTGATGGAAATAATGCCCAGTTTTGGGGGAGCTTGGTGGTATGGGAGACAGTCACAGCAGCTCTAATAGAGTGGTTTATCACTTTCTTGTGGAGCCAGGTGCAGCTTCTGTTCTCTTTTGCACCCACAAATCTGGTATAATATTAATTAGATTGTTGATTGTCATTAGGTTTCATTAGTGGAGATCCATAAAACAAAAAAAAAGGAAAGGTTCCATAGTCATGCTAAAACTTGGTATGTCATTTATACAAAAGGAGGTGAACAGAGATTGGTAGCCATGAAACACTACTTTTCCAGAAATATGAAATGTTTAGGTAAAATCTAACGGAAAATTGATTACTGCCTGATAAAATGGTGTCTCTTCCCTTGAAAATAGGTTTGATCATTTCCTTTGTGCAAGCCCTGCACCTTCACCTAGATTCCTTCCCAGGCAGCTACAGTGAATCTGCTCACCAAGGGAATTTGTCCCACTGGATTCCTTTTTTTTTTTTTTCTGTGCAGTTGAATGAAAAGTGTGTGCCTTTTGAAGAACAGCAACTGAAAGAAATATTGATGACTGCCAGGGCATCTACAGAAAAAGATAAGAAAATTACTCTAGTACAACAGTGAAAACAAAGGGGCTTTGTTAACACTTTCTTGTAGGTTGTATATATTAATAGTAACAAGTAAAGTTTTGTATTTTTTCAGAGAAACACACAAGGCCTTGAATTGTATTGTTTTAATTGCAACTAACTGAATGAATTAAGTGGAAAATCGCACACAGTACTTTGATTGTCTAATTCTCTGTATGTGAGGCTTTGGGAACAGTTTGTTATTCTAAAAGAACAGCACTAACCAGAAATCAGCCAACATGTAATTGCTAGGCTGAGGGGCAGTTTGGGGAAAGCTGATACTTATTTATACATTATTAAATAAAATCACATAATATGAGGATCATCTCTCACTGCCTCCACACTTCATACATTACTCATCTTCCTAAATTTCATGGTTTTGTACTCCCTTAGTACATTGCTGCTTATAACCAGTGCAGGCATCAAAACCACCCACATCCAGGAAAGGAGATGCCTGTGCATTTGTTATGATGGCAGATTTGGTTATGGGACTCATCAAAGATTATGAACCTTCAGTTCAAGGAAAGGGATCTTGACTCAAGTTTTAAAGGTTGTTTTCAGTACCTAAAATACACCTGGGCACCTGGGACTGTTCAGGTGGCTGAAACTCTGGCTGGTGTTTCCACTTGACTATGTACATTTAGAGATTCACAGTCAGCCAGTAACCTAAAAAGAAGACTTAAGAGCAATTTTGGCATTAAATTTGACAGAGTTCCCAAAAAACAAATTGTTTATGTAATTCCCATCAGTTTTGGTAAGAATCAGGTAACTTCTGGTTACCTCCAGTGATCCTCACTGCTCACTTGTGCCTTACTCCCATAGGAAACAGCCACTTGCAAGACACAGAGAGGAGATAGATGGTGATGGGACTCATGAAGAAGGTAGAGTAGTACTTAGTTCTCAGTGGTTTTGGCTATTTCAGCTCTCCTGGAGGATGGATGGAGCTGCTATTTGTTCCTCTAGCACAAATTTGAGGGCTTTCTTCTTGGAAAGCAAGGTCTATTTCAGAGGACACAGAAGCAGTGTCCTTGTGCCACGTAACAAGGGGTTGGGTAATTCTGGCCTCACAAGTGAGATGAATGTCTTACAGACCAAGAGGCCCTTGGTGATCTGCAGCAGAGAGTCTGTGGATGGGAAGGTGTGCCAACACCTGGGGAGATGGAACTGCTGGACACATCTTTGGACTTGCTGAGCTGCTATATGCAATGACATTTATGCTGTACAAACAAACCCCACTATTAAACCACTTAAACACTGTTTATGCAACCTCAAAATGGTAGAGGCTTGATTTTATTACTTCATCTACAGGCTTGTTGAAACTTGCATGTCCACACTGAAGTGGTGTGAAGATTAAATTGCTAAGCCTAGTTACCAGTATAGACTGTTGCACAGAAGGTGCCTGAGAGGTGGAACTGGGCAGCGTTCAGCTTTGCACAGCTCTTGCCAAGAGTTATTTGGTATCCCTGTCACTGTTTTTTGAAGTCCAAAAATATTTTTCCCCAGATAACCTATTTTTCTGCAAGGGAACACAGCTGCATTTATGAAAGGTCTTGGCTTTTACAGTAAGTCTGGTTTGTATCGTTTCCTCTCTCTATGTATGTTGTCTGCATAAGTACCAACAGTCATAATGAAAAACACAGTTTTGTTACCGGAATTTTTAACAGTGGTTTTCAGTAGTTTAGAAAACATTGGAGCTCCTTCCAACAAATGAAAAAAATCAAAACAAAGCAGCTTTGAAAATGCTGATACACTTTGGCAGATAAATCTTTGGGTTTCACCCTGCTCTATTATTCTTTCTGTGATACTAAAACCAACATAAAGCATTATTGATTTCAACCAGCTCAACAGAAGATACCATATGGCTTTCACCCCACTGTCCCCTTCACTGGGGGACTAAATCTCGGCTGTGCTCTTGTGCAGCCTTTGGCTGGGTGTTCTGAGACAGCTTCTATTCAGTGCTTGTGTGCAGTGTTAAAGCTGTCTTCACTGCACCTCTTTTTCCAGCATGACATAGGAAGTTTCCTGGCTTGAATTCTCAATCACAAAACTCATATGGGAAGCACTCAAAATGTAAGACCTTTCAAACCCTTGTGAGTTCACAGCATTTAAAGATAAGAGCACAGTATTGCCAAGAAATGTGTCTTGTTGAGGCCTACAATTAACTTTATCAAAAGAAGGAATCTTATTTTTGCCTGCTGCAGATAGAGGTTGAATCTCAAAGCAGCCTAAAGTTAGAGATAGCATCTGGTTCAGATCACGATATGATGAAAGATTCAGGTTAATTAGTATTTATTCTTAGTTGATAGTTATTCCTTTTGGCTTCAGCTAACAAGCAGGAGTTGGAGTCCCTCAAAGTTGTGTCTCCTGGGATGAGAGATGAATGAGGGAGACAGTCTCCATGGTGAAAATGTATTTAGGGATGGGAATGTCAGTAAGAAAAACTGGCCATTGCCTTGGGTTCTGATAGCCTGAAGGGAGGATGCTCTGAGGGATGACTCAGTGCCAGCAGGGAGGGTGGGATGTAGGCATGGACTGAGGCATTCCATGGGGCCATGGATAGGGGGAGGTGCCCTGGTTCCCTGCTCAATCCAGTGTCCTCGCATGTCCCTGCCCACACAACCCCTGTCCGCCACCAGTTGCCCTAACTGGGCGGTTTTGGCCACAGGGAGCAGTCAGGGAGCAGCTGTGGAGAAGGTGGCTTCTCAGTGCTCCTCCAAGGCTTTCAGTTCCCCTTTCTTGCCACTGTTTCCTGCAGCACCACACAGGCTCTACCAGCAAAAACACCACATCACAGTGTAAGGGCAGCAGTTCATCTTTGATAGAATTGTTTTTTTCCTGAGGTCTCCTAATTGCTCATGCAGCCAGGAGGAGCCTACCAGATGGAGAGCAGCAGATCCCATTTTTTTAAAAAAAATCACTGTTAGTGTCCAGTTGGAGTTGAGACATTTCTAGCAGGATGGCCTGTGTATATGGGCAGAGTTGCTCTCCTCCAGTAACCTCGTGGACTGTTTTGATCCCTCAGACACTCCCAGAGAAGATAATTTCTACATTGGTGGGAATTCTCTGACTTCACAGGTTCCAGTGCAAGGGCAGTGCCATAGTGGGCAGGCACTGGGCCTCCTGCCCCACAGCCATAGGGCTCCCCTTTCCCGCTCTCTCACGGGACAGTCTGGGTTGCCCCAGCAGGTGAGGCTGCTGGTACAGAGGGCTGTGGGGAGGCCATTCCTGTCCTGAGGGGCTGAGGCAATGGCTGGAGGGCTGTGGGTGTCTGTGGGCTGAATTGATGGCCGGTGGGCCGTAGGTGTCTGTGGGCTGAATTGATGGCCGGTGGGCCGTAGGTGTCTGTGGGCTGAGGTGATGGCCGGAGGGCCATGAGCGTCTGTGGGCTGAGGCGATGGCCGGAGGGCCGTGAGTGTCTGTGGGCTGAGGCGATGGCAGGAGGGCTGTGAGTGTCTGTGGGCTGAGGCGATGGCTGGAGGGCTGTGGGTGTCTCTGGGCTGAGGTGATGGCAGGAGAGCCGTAGGTGTCTGTGGGCTGAAGTGACGGCAGGTGGGCTGTGGGTGACTCCAGGCTGAGGCAATGGTAGGAGAGCTGTAGGTGACTCTGTGCTGAGGGGATGGCAGGTAGTGTGTGGGTGGCTGTGGGCTGAGGTGATGGCCAGAGGGCCGTGGGTGTCTCTGGGTGTCTCTGGGCTGAGATGATGGCAGGAGGGCCGTGGGTATCTCTGGGCTGAGGCAATGGTGGGTAGGCCATGGATGTCTCTGGGCTGAGGCGATAGCCAGAGGGCCGTGGGTGTCTGTGGGCTGAGGCGATGGCGTGTCTCCGGGTGTCTCCAGGCTGAGGCGATGGCAGGACGGCCGTGGGTGTCTGTGGGTGTTTGTGGGCTGAGGTGATGGCAGGAGGGCCATGGGTCTCTCTGGGCTGAGGTGATGGCAGGAGGGCTGTGGGTGACTCTGAGCTGAGGTGATGGTGGGAAGGCGATGGGTCTCTCTGGGCTGAGGTGATGGCAGGAGGGCCATGGGTGACTCTGGGCTGTCTTCATGCCTTGGATCATGATGTGGGTGCATCTGGGTAGCTTTTTCCTTGCGGACATGGCTGCACAGGCCAGCCAGTGTAGATTTGTGACCCTCCCCTGCATTCCTTTCTGGAAGTGTTTACTTTAAAGTCTCAACAAGAACTAAATTAATTCCCTTAATGTGCTTTTGGCCATCCCCTTTCCCCAGCCCTGTGGAGGAGCTGGGGAGGTGCTGGCCCCTGTGCCTGTGTCAGGCAGACTGTGAGATGAGGCTGAACTTGCAATCCCCCTCCTCATGCTTCTCTTTGCAGGGGCCTCACTGAGGAGCTATGGGGTTGAACAGAGATAGAATAGCACAAACTGGGGTTTTGGATTAAAGAAGGGGGGCAAAAGGACCCCCAAACTTGCACATAGGTAAAATAGGTGGTATTTCTGCCTTGGAAACACCATGGTACTCCCTGGAGTGATTCTTGAACACTGAACACCCACCTTGGGGCACAGAGCTGGGCTTTGCAGACCCCTGGTGTCTCTCCACCTTGCAGCCTGTGGCAGCCAAATAGGAGCCTCAGTGGACAAAGCTTGTTGCTTCTAGCACAGCAAAATTCTAAACTTTAACCAAACCATGCATAATAAATGTTAATAGCACCAATTTCAGTGCTTATGGCATCATAAAGAAACTATTAAAAGAAAGAAAAGCAGCAAAATAGGTTTGTTGCTCACTTAATTGTGGAGGCTTTATTATGTTCTGCTGTGCTAATGATAAAGGCCTATTACCAAGGCTGAATCCCAATTAGGTCAGGTGTGTTCCATGTCGTTATAGTCACAAGCATCAGGTGTTTCAGTAGTGCAACAAACTATCTGGGATTAGCAGGGCAGTTCTTTAAGAGTTTGCCCACATAGAGGCACAGACTCTTGATTTGGCCACCATTATTGTCATTATTGCACTCTTACAAGGCTGCTGTGTATGCAAAGGTGTGGACAGATGGCTTGGAGATCATTAAACTGAGTTAAAAATGGCTCTGTTTCTCCTTTTCCTGCTTCCTTCCCCTGGTCATTAGTTAAATGACTGGAATGTGGATTAAATGAATACCCATAAACCACGTGTGTCTTTCATTTACTTCCCAGAAAGAAGAGACCAACACTCCTACCTGTTACTTCTGTGATGAAAATGGCAAGACAGTTCTGGATCTGCAGTAAACTCCAAGCTATGTGGCAGCTACAGGTAAGCTCAGAAATTAAGCTGTAACTATGAAAAGTAAAACGTTTGGAAGCAATTTATTCCTTGTGTTGTTTTTTCCACATGTTGATTGCTGGAAAGTAAATTCAGTTTTGTGCTGTGCTCAGATACAGTCCTTTCCATAGACTAAGTGTTCTGCAGGTTCACAGGACACAATGGACTCTTTTGGAGGTATGAGGAGGCTGGATGAGCAGGTGTGGGACAGGGACTCAGGAAAGCATTGGAGCTGGGTTACAGTTATGAGATGCTAGACTTGAAAGAAGTTCTCAGTGTGCCTTCCTCTTCCCTTTCCTTTCCCATGAAGTCTAAGGCTTTGGATTATTAGCTCCTGCCCTTTGTTGTTCCAAAGAGAGGGTGGTCCTCCTGCAGCCTTTGCAGTGTCTGGCAGCTCTGAGAGAGCCCAGACCTGCCCCAGACCCAAACATGGACATAGTCTTTGAGTCTTAATGTCTAATTATTATAGCTAGTTTTCAGAGGGAGCCTTTTTTTTAAATATGAAATGAATATTTACATGCTTTTCTGAACTGTTGTATCAGACTTTGTATAGATTCAGGAAGAGTGTATTGAATGTTGATAAAGAGGATGTGGTTAAGTTCACATTTGAAAATAGCTTTCCCACCACAAGGGTTAGCATCTACTGCCTTTCTTTAACTGGTAACTTTTATTCTTAGTGTCAACTTTTGACAGCATCTCTGGAATATATTTGTAAATATATTTGCCAAAGTTATGTATTGGATAATTCCTCTGTTTCTAGCATGTCTGAAATGACCACATACAAAATGTAATTAAAAATTACCATGAAACATGAATTGCATGCTCCTATCATCTTTTAAACATCTTACTAGGAAACACTTTTTTCAGGATTTTTACATTTTTTATTTAAACGACTAATTAATAAATTACTAATTAGTAGCTTATTTAAATTACTATTTAAATTTACATTATGAAAATAGGTATATGTACCAAAGGGGACTGGCTAAAAGTATTTGTTTGTGTTAGAATATTATGAAGGATTTTCACACTGGCAGCCATTACAAAACCCAACTAATCCAGGAGTAGGGGAAAGCCTGTGGTTTTCACATTGTTGGGGTGTGTGGAAGGGAAAAGATTACAGAAGAGGCTTGGGGGGAAATAAATGAGGGGGAAAAGAGGTTGACTTTTTTTATCTGGTGTATTGATTAGTTGACAATTTAGACTATATGTATTTCTCTGTCCTCTCTGACTGGTCAGGATTAGAGAGGTCTTGGAAAAGAAGGAAGATGTCTTAGATTCTCAACTATGATGAATTTCCACCTGGTGATTATCATATTCCTTTCTTCATAGAGTGCTAAGTTTTTGATTTAGTTTCCTTTACAGAGAAATGGAACATGACTGAAGCAGACATTTACACTAGGGTAGGTTTCAGAAGGTCCGTGAGCTTTCAGCAATGCCCTACGCAAACACAACACAAATGTTAAAGTGTTTCTTGAGATAATGCTTCTCCAGTGTTAATTTCTGAACTTGTTAATTTCTGAACTTGTATAAATACTGAAAGCACTTGGAAAAAATATCATTTTCCATAGGTTTTCTGCTGATGATTTTGGTTGACTGTACCTTACTATACAAGCGTGTTCTTATTGCACACTCTGTAAGTAGAGCACTCCATAATAATAAAAAATAGCAGCACACAAGGGGACATCATACTGTCCTTTCCTTCTTCCTTTTGTTTGAGCTTTCTGCCATCTTGGTAGGAAGTCTCCTTTTTATGTGTATTTCTTAATACTTAGCAACTGAATGTAACTTTTGTCTGTTTATGGGTTTTGCAGCATTTGAAAGATGACACTTTCCCACTGCACTGAATACTCTGCTATTCTGTATGAATGATGCACACAATGTTGGGGTATATACATTCTTTTTCACCAGAAATAAGTTCAGTTTCATGAAAGTAGAGAATTGCAGAGAAAATTTGCTGATTACCAGCACGACATAGGCAGATGCATAACAGGACAGTAGAACAAATATGTGCTTTAAAATATTTCCTTTTCTCTCTATAACCTGCTTCTTAACTTTGCTAAAATTCAGCCTGTCAGTGTTGGTACCGTCTTCTTGTTAGCCCTTCCTACTGTGTTTGGTAAACTGCTGAGCTGAGTGCATTTGGGAGGGTGGACACAATGCTGCTGTCACTGCAGTCTGTGATAGAATGAGAATTGGTTTTGGAGCAGTATCCTTAGTGCTGCTATTCCCTGTGGAATCAGGAGTGGGCAGATGCTTTAGTGGGCATGTAGCCTGCATCATGCTCTTTGGATGAGGCTACCACAGTGTGGGGGTTACTGTAGAGGCAGCAGTCCCCTCCAGCTGTGAGCCCTGCTTTGTTTGGGAAAAGGTAAAAGAGAGGAGGTGCACAATCCGCCATCCCCTTACTAGGCTTTCCTGTCTTCAAGGAACCATCAGAGCAGCCCATTACTTTAAGGTATTGCCAGTACATCACCCTGGAGAAGATGGGTGTCTCATTTGAAACATACCACTTTCTCTTTTCAAAGATCTTTCTCCAAGCCTTGTGGACTGAATGCTTCTGTCCTCACCAAGGAACTTCAGAAATACTTAGCTGTGCAATCCCCTCTCCCTCCCCATATTCTTGGGAGAATGATGGACAAGGAATTCCAATAAAACTGCTCTTGTGCTTAGGTGGTCAGGCTCTATCTGTCCATATCTGTGAGATCAAAGAGCTTAATGAACACTTGCACTCCTGGGACTCAGGAGTTTACCTTTCAGCCTAGTAAACTTATCCCTGGAAGTGCCCTACTTTTTCACTTGGAGATTGTGGTGTGCAGAATGAAAACTTGTGTTAGAATAGTCATTGCACAGACTTTCACTGAGCTATGAATCCCTCTCCCTAAGTGAAGACACTTCTCCCAGTTCTCTCTCCCCCAGCACAACAGACCTATTTGCTTCAGTAAAACATCTGACAGCGCTGTCTGTTGTGTAGCCCCTACTGTGCCACACCCAAGCTGTCCAAGATCTTCCATGAATTTTCTTCATGCTGCTCACAACAGATAGAGAAAAGTGATAATCAATGGAGAAAGCATTAAAGCAGCTGAGGCTTATAGAGCACAGTGAAGGGGCATTGCCAGCACTGCCCTGGCTCCCCAGATGGGATGTCCTAGAAGCTGCAGCTGCTTTCCCATCCTACCTTAACTCTCTGAACAAGGGTGGAGAGGAAGGAAGAAGAGAGAGACATTTCCGCTGTGATTGCAACAGGCAGTGATAGGCAAATTCCCTCTCCCTGCCCTGTGACAAGCCTGGTGCTGGTCATAAACTGCTGCAATCCTTATCGGGGCTTTTGGGGCCGCTTTTAAAAATAATTTCATCTTTGCTGTCACGTCTTCCTCCCTCGCTGAGCAGAGACTGACTAATTAGCAGTGGTTCAGTGGCAGATGCTATTGTGAAAAGGGTTTGATGGTGATCTAACTGGGAATAAAATTGTCTTAAAGGTCCAGGCAGACATTTTCTAACCTCTCTGTGATACAGGCTGTGTTGGCTAGTGTGTGAAACCAGCCCACACAGATGTGAAGGATAAACTCTTTTGCATGCAAATGGCTGCTCCTCTTCCAAGGAGGTACCTGTGGCCTTCTAGTTGCATCCTGCACCAGTCCTCACTGGTGTATTAAAGCAATAATGGTGTTGACTGATCTACCTACTCACATTTCCTACCAGGAGAATAAAATGCCAGAGTTGATGGTAGTTTGTTACCTGTGTCACTCCTCCAAACACAGTTAGCAAGCAATCAGCTTTGGTTGTTTTCTTCTCAGTCTGAAATCGCATTAAATCACATTAGTAATGTAAAAAGCTATACTGTTTTGAAACAAATATTTATCAACATATCCTATGGGGTTTATTTTTAGTCTGCTGATTTGTTTGACTACTATCTCATATGACCATGACATTTGTAAACAGTGCAGTGAGGATGTGTCACTGCCCTTTATGTTGGTATTTTTCTGTTAATTGTTATCAGATCATGAAATTCACATATTGAACCCCAAAGTCTAATTTTAACAATGCAGACAGGAGAGCTATAACTTGAGTTCTTGTGGTTACCTGCTCTTCCAGTGCTTTTTAGTTTGTTTTGCAGAGGAATGATTCAAGTGTGTAAATTTAGAGGACTAGTGCCATTTGACGTGTCTGAACTTCAGCTATTGCTGCAGAGGAGCAGTGGCCTCCCAAGTGCCCTGTGCCATGATCTCAGCCCAGAGAAGACCTTGTAGATGCCCAGAAGTGGCCAAAATGTCTTGGACAACTTGTGAGGCAGTGTCCCTCAGCCCAGGTTTGTGCCAGCTGTTTCCTGTGGGTGTCACCAGGGAGATACCTTCAGCTCCCAGCCATCTGCTGATGCCTTGAGGAGATCCTCATGCCTCCCACTGAGCAGGCACAGGCTCAATCCTCTCAGCTACTCCCCAGCTACTGCATCACTCACTGCAAGCTTGGTGATTTGGGCATCCTACAGAGAATGATGTACATAGAGTGTTTTTCCCTGTGATACTATTTGGGAAAGCTTCCTCACATGTATGAGAAAATACAGTGGTCTTGCCAGCAGAAGTAGGGAAAAGCCTAAAAGTGTTAGGTTAAAACTGCCATGCTTCATTTGGCTTTTTATACATAACTGAAATATATCTGTGTAAGTCAGCTGTACCCATTGGTTGGAGGCTCCTAGAGATATCCAGCAAAGATCAGTGAGCAGTTTGCAGGCACAGGGGCTGCAGCAGTGGTGGGCTGTGGGAGGCCGCTGAGAGACCCAAGAAAGCAGCTTGGCCTCTTGCATTCCTCCTTGTTTCTAATGATAAACTGTAGAGAGAGATTTACTGCAGTACTTTCTCATACTGAACTGTTTTTCTCCATAGTAACTTCTGCAGCTGTCACAGGAGTGGAATGAGCTTTGAGACTGGGGGATATGTTCTCCTCCATCTGAGGTGATGTTCAGGAGTTAGACTGGAAGATTTTATACACCAAAC